CACTGTGTGAAAAGAAACCTCGCTTGAAGAGCTGTCTAAGAACACCTGCTGTCTTGAAAGCGTTCTTTACCTGAGTGCTCAAACATGTTGCATGAGATGTTAAGTTGTGAACAACAAGTGAAGCACAACACAAGCACGGTCTTCGAACAATAATTCGGGTTGATGCACAAGCCCAGCTGCCTTGTCACAATGCGTGGGTTCAGCGCCAAGCCAAGTCATCAAAATGCAGCCTGTCATGCCTGAATATCGGTACACGGTGACCGTGTGCGTGCCGGAAGCTTCGGCATTGTCCCTGGATTCCAAATCATGTCTTAATGTTGCGTTCAGAGTGCCAGCCGGCTCTCGTCTCCTTAGGCTCGCTGTTCCTGGGGGTGATTGTCTTAAGCCCAAGGTGTCGAGTGCCGCTTCGTTTCTATCGGGCCCAGCTTCTGCCACATTTGGTGTCTATCGTACACAACAGGAGTTCGTTTCTGCATCGCTTGAGCTCGAGCATCCCTTCGATGCCTTTGCATACATCCCTGACGGTGTCCTTAGTAACCTTGGCAATCTTCTCATATCTGGGCCTCTTCCCATTATGAGAAAGAGGATGGAGCTCTGGACGAAGTGGCGTGCGTGGGCTTCAGCCTTGGAGCGGCCCGAGGCCGAGTTGCACAAGGCGCTGGATGGCGGTGTTGCGAGTGTCCTGCGAGGCAAGAAGCTGCTGTTGCTCGAGCGGATCGCGCAATCTCTAGGGTGGCCCGATGGGGGTCTCTTTGAAGACATTAAGTCTGGATTCAGCTTGGTGGGCTCCGCTAGTGTTACTGGAGTCTTTGAGACGTCTTTCAAGGCGGCGGAGTTCACAGAGGATGAGCTGGATTCTCGGGCAAAGTTTCTTCGCCCTGCTTTGTGGGGTAAGATTGCGAGCTCGGCCACTCAGTTGGACCAGGAGCTCTGGCAGAAGACCCTTGCAGAGCGTGACGACAAAGGGTGGATTAGTGGACCGTACACTTATGAGGAACTCGACGGTATGTTTGGCCCGACTTGGCTGCCGGTGAGACGCTTTGGCATCCGCCAACGCGCCAAGCTCAGATGCATAGATGACCTGTCGGAGAACGCTGTAAACGCTTCTTGGGAAGTCGCAGAAAAAATAGATTTACGTGCTTTAGACGAGCTCTTGTGGGTCGCCTCCAGACTCATGAAGATTATGCTTGACAAGGGCTACGTGGACCTTCAGCTTTCTGATGGATCGAAGGTGAGGGGTCCTCTGCATCCCATGTGGAAGAGCAACAGCTCTGGCGCTAAGCCTGTCCTTAAGTGTGTGGACTTGGAATCGGCGTATAAGCAGTGGCCCATCAGGCCACAGGATTCGAAGCGTTGTGTGATAAGCTTGCGCCGCCCATCAGATGGCTTGCCTGTCGGCTTTGTGTGCCATGTTGTGCCTTTCGGTGGATTGGCGAGTGTTGGTCACTTTAATCGTGTGGCTTCTGCAGCGGATAATGCTCGAGCTGGGGTGCATGGCCTTCAACTACTTTGATGACTACCCGGTGCTCGATCTCAGCTTGACTTCGGGTAGCACCGAGAAGACGATTCGGGCGCTTATGCGCCTCCTTGGCATTTCGTGCTCTGAGGACAAGGAGCTTCCTTTCGCTTCTTCTGCCGACATCTTGGGGGTCAGGGTTGATCTCTCTTCTCCCCGTTGCATCAGGGTGCAGAATAAGCCGGAGAAGGCCAGTGAGGTTGCCGCGTCTGTCGACAAGGTGCTTGCTGAAGGTCTGGTCCGCCCCAAGGAGATTGACAGTCTCTTCGGGAGGATTCACTTCGGAGATTCCCAGGTTCTTGGGCACTTTACGCCATTTGTCGAAGGGCGATGGCGAGCACCGTCTTTCTTGTGCTGAGGCTGGCGCGTTTGAGTTGCTTCGTGACCGCATGTTGCACGGTGTGCCTAGAACGATCGCTGTGGACAAGCGTGGGCCTGCGATTGCAGTTTACACTGACGGGGCATGCGAGCCTGGCATGCACAGGCAATTGTGCACGGTTGGAGGTGTGCTGTACGCCAGGCTGCAAGGCGTCACGCGTGTCAGGTACTTCGGTGCCCGTCTTCCTGATGTTCTTGTCGATCGTTGGGCATCTCACGGTAAGAGGCACTTGATTGGTCTTGTTGAGCTTTATGCCTTGGTCCTTGCGCGATTTGTCTGGAAAGATTATCTGGACCACCAAAGGGCTTTGTTCTTCCTTGACCACAGTGGTGCGTTGGCGTCGGCAATCAAGTGTTCATCCAGAGATGAGCTTTGGCGAGAGCTGTTGCTCCAGCTTGAGATTGCAGACAAGGGCTCGTGTATCGCGTGGTACGCCAGAGTACCATCGGCTTCGAATGCTGCAGACCCTCCGTCGAAGCGCCACGAGCGGCTCAAACCTAGGATGGGTTGTAGTTTCACCTGCCATGGACTTTGCTGCATTACCATGATTTTCGGCATGTTTGGTATTCTACTCACGGATTACATGGCTTTTGATGACTTTTTCACGGAACACGTTTTTTCGTGGGGTAGACGAACTTC